TCACTCGGAATTCTGACCACTGAGGACAGGTACCTGGTAGACCCTGGTTACACAGAATGAAGACATTTTGTATCCAGCTTGTTCCCAGGGCCTTTTGTATAAACTGTCCAGGAGCGAGGCCTCCTGGAGCCAACACAGACCTTTACAGTCCAGGCTTGGGGACCCAGCTTGCCGTTCTGGGCCGCCTCACACGCTGGATCTGGCCTAGATTGGAGGCCGCCATCTTGGCCCAGAAGATGGACTCCAGGTCACCTCCGAAGGGGCTGCTACGGGCCAGGCCTCGGAGTCCCTCACAGCCCTGCGCTGTCACCCATCAGTGCCCTGCCCCTGCTGGGGGACAGCTCCAGGGAAGAAGGAACACGGCCGCTCTGTCGAAACCTGGGGCTTGGCCTCCGGAACCTGACCCCAGTCCCGGCCTCGGCCTCGCGGGACTGCTGCTAGTCTAAGACCCAGGAGTGATTCTCTCCCAGTCTTCACTAGCCTAAGGGGCTCTCTCAGTCCCCTGAAAATAACTCCTGATCTGACCTTCATCCCGTTGCCATAATAATAGCTTACTCGGTAGCACAACCTGCACCCCATAAGCCATTTGTGGGCTTCATAAAATCATTCTCTGAGTCAGCTTGCCGTGCTGGGAAGTGAGGACCTGTGTGGCTCCAGCTGCGTGACCGCAGGCCAGACAACTCACCCCTGTGAGCCCCAGTTCCCTACCCTGGGAGATGGGGGTAGTAATTTTTGCCTTGCCCACGTCCCAGGGTTATGGGTAATCAGGCAAGATAATGGATGGAAAGAGGCCGTGCAGACTGTAAATCTGGGGTTCGGGTGAAAGGTGGGGCTGTGTTTACAGGTGAGGTCAGAAACCCCAGACACCAGGGAGGCCAGCCCACTGGCCAGAGGTTAAAGTCGTGCTATCAGTTCAGGGTGCAGGCTGAGGGGTCTGGGTGCTCCATTCAGGGCCTTTACCTTTTAACTGCCATTTAAGAAGTGAATATGCCCGATGGAAACTAAGTAAAGCTTATATTCGGGCCCCCCCTCCCCCGGTGACTCAATGGGTTCAAAATCTCAGCACTATCCAGCTACCTCCAGCCACTGTAGCACAAGTTCGATCCCCAGCCAGGGAAGTGACCCACAGGGTACAGCAGACCTGTCCTGTCTTCCCGCTGCTCCCTTAGCTGTGTGTTTCAGTCCATCTCCCAGTTCTGCTCCCCACTCTGTCTCTGAGAAATCCTCTCACCTCCCACACCTCTGGCCTGTATCCCAATTTTGTATGCATAAGTAAATAAACCTTAAAAAACAAATGTTGTGCTCACCCGTGTTTACTGCAGCATCATGTACAGGGGCCAGCTCACGGAAAGAGCATCAGTGCAGGCGGACAGGAGTGGACCTGGACATGTGGTCTGTCCACACAGAGGATTATTCAGCCATTTATAGAGAAAGGTGAAAGTTCGCCATCTATAGCAACATGGAAGGCGTTTGTGGGAAGCGGGTGTCGTGGGCAAGTCAGAATGACAGACACAGATGTCAGCTGTTGACAGAGCAGACAGTCTGACAAACTGCTTCTAAAAACTGTGGGCTGGGCCCCATCAACAAAGAGGTTTCTGAGTGGAGGGTGGGAGGTGGGGGAGGGAGATGGCGTCAAAGGGTTGCAGGGATGGTGGTGGGGAAAAGTGAAGTCGATCAATTCTGCTAAGAAGACTCTTCTCGTTTATTCCAGGTAAAGGCTGCAGGGCCCCAGGGGTGTGGCTGGAAGTGCTGGGGACACTCCTGGGCACCCTTTGTCCCGCATGACCCCCAGGGACAAGATCAAGGAAGCCCCAGGCACCCCCTGGGGCCCTGGCTAGCTTGGGTCTCGGTGCTGGCAGGAGGCCTGGGGTAGGGGCCTCCACAGCAGGACAGGAAGTAGAGCCCGAGGCCTGGGAAAGCCAGCAGGGAAGGAGTATGTGAGTGAGTATCTGCAGTCTGTGCTCCAGATGCAACGCAGATTTCAGAACAGGGAGAGAGGAGCCACACTGGAGGGGACCTGGAGCGGCAGGAAACTTCCTCAGGGCCCCAGAACCTCTGGCAACGAATCCCCCAGTCTGCCTCGGGGCTACTTCCCCGCAGCCAGAGGTCCCCGGCCTGTCCTGTCAGGAGGTGCGGCTGCCCTGTCCGACCGACCGCTGGGAGGTCCTGGACAAGGGCCTCACCTGTCCAAAGTTCAGTGTCACCGCTATAAATGGTGGAGACCTGGGGCCCTCCTTGGTGGCACAACGGGTTAAAGAGCAGCACTGTGAAGCTGGCCGCAGCCCCTTCAACAGGGGTCGGTCCCCAGCGGGGGAGCTGACCCACAGGGCGCAGCAGCCCTCTCCTGTCTCCCCGCGGCTCCCCTCAGCAGTGTGTTTCAGTCAGTGGGCCTGTTCTGCTCCCCACTCGGTCTCTGGTGAAGCCTCTCACGGCCTCTGCACCTCTGGCCTGTGCCTCAGTTCTGTGCATAAATAATAAATCCTAAAAAAAATGTGGCCTCTGCCCACCTCTTACGCAGAAGAGCATCTACAGGACTCACCCCTAGGACACACCCTAGGGCCGCCAGAAGTCCAGCAACGGTGTTTATGGTTTGATAAACCATAAACCTCAGTAGAGGGACGAGGGTGTCGGGTGTCGGCACTGGCCAAGAAACACAGCTGGTAAAAAGAAGAACATCGTGGAAGTACACCCCAAAAGAGGTGAAGAGCCCGGGGTTCAGCTCTCCGAGTGTCCACACACAGCACGCGCCACGCAGGGATCCGAACGGCCGCAGGGCCCTGTCGCGGCTGGTCGGCTCTGGGGTGAGGTTGATGGGGTAGCAACTGCCTTTCCACAGTCTTTCTGGTCTGGTTTGTTGTTTTAATGTCTCTCTCTCTCTTTCTTTATTGCACCATGCTTGGTTTACCGGGTTTGAATGTGTGTAACAGCAGGTGTGACTCTTTAGAATAACCACATCGAGCTAAAAGTATACTCTGTGGCTTTAATATACTCAGCGTCATTGAACGATGGTCACTGCTTCATCTCAAACACTGTCATCACCCACCCTCTGCTCCTCCCCGCCCAGCCTCTGGCTCCCACACTCTGCTCTGACTGCGGGCTTACCTGTCCTCGCCGCCTGGGGTGCGTGCAGGCCTCAGCACTGGCTAGTTACTTCTCAGACGCCTCCTACATACACAGTCATAGTATTAACAAGTTACTTGACAAAATTCATTTTCACTTTTTCACGCCAACACAATTTTGCAGTGAATCAACAGTGCTGAAAGGAAATGGACTCTAAGTTTAAAACAAAAGCTGAGCAATGGGGGATTTCCCCACCGCCATGCCAGGCAGCACTGGGGCTGATAGCTGGAAGGGCCAGAGGCTGGCTGGGCTGTGGCTGACGAGCGAGCGGCGGGCACAGTGTGCAGCTGGCACTGGCCCCTGCTTTTTAAGTTCTAGGATTGCGGGTTTCACAGTGCGTGTGGCAAGCAGATCCCCGGATTCTGCCTGGCCCAGTGTTCTGTGGGTCCCACCACCGAGCTTCCCTGGCCAGGCTGTGCCCTAGGAAGCAGGGCCCTGCCTAGTTCTCGGCCCTGAGCTGCTCCCTGGGCACAGCCTGGCCAGCAGTGGACAATGGCCGCTTTGTGGGAGCTCCCGCCTGGGCCGGGGGCAGCAGGAGCCACGAGGGAGGCTCCAGAGGCAGGAGTGGCAGCTGCTTTGCCGCCCTCCTCTGTCCTCTGGCCTGTGGCTTGCCCTTAGCGTGCCGGGTCAGCAGCCCCGGGCCCACCTGCACGAAGCCTGGGTCCCCGGGAGCCCCTGCCACCCAGAACCTTTCGTCACAAACCATGCCACGCACCGCATAGACACTTTCTGGAAAATCTTCTGGAACTGGGCAGGTTGGCTTGCATGCTTACCCCCAAGCCAAGCCATCCTTCGCTAAACCCTCCAGAACAGAGAGGACCGTGCGTGGCCTCTCGGGAAGCTGTGCCCATGCTGGGACATAAACACTGGCACTTGGCCAACTGGTTCTGTCCCAGAGGAAAAGCAGGCAGAGAAGCCACACAACCTCCAAGTTGGCAAGGGGGTAATCACTCTAGCAAAACCCTACATGAGCTGAGAGGAGAGGTGGAGCCCAGGGAGGGGATGTTTGCAGGGGTGGTCGGAGCATATGGGGGAGCTGGGACGAAACCCCATCCTACTGACCCTCACTCTTCGTGCCACTCCACCCACCCCCCTCCTCTCGCTGCCCTGAAGTGCCTGTGGCCACTGTTCTAAACGCTCCAAATCCAAATCCTCCAAATCAAGACCCAGACATCACCTCCTCCTTGAGGCCCTCTCTGATGGCTCGTACAGACGCCCAACCCCAGGGCTTCTCACCGAATTGCACCCTTAGACTTAAACAGAACCAGGCTCTCCCTGGTGGTGCAGCGGGTTAAAGCACAGCACTGTGAAGCTGCCCGCAGCCACGGCAACACGAGTTCGATCCCCGGCCAAGGAGTGACCCACAAGGCGCAGAAGACCGCTCCTGTCTCCCCTCTGCTCCCCTCAGCAGTGTACTTCATCCATCTGCCAGTTCTGCTCCCCAATTTGTCTCTGGTGAATTCTCTCACCCCCCACACCTCTGGGGGTATAAGCATAAATAAATAAATCTTAAAAGAAAGAAAGAAAGAATTAAATGGAACCTAGAGAGCGTATCTTAAGTATCTTTGTTTCAGAGAAGAATTTCCACACGCCTACCAGAGAGGCTGGTAGGCCAGTGGGTGAGATGGACGTGTAGGCAATTCCCATGAACACTCAGAAAGATATAAGGAGCGTAGTGGTCAAAGTGCAACAGGGCATCTAGAAAGAGCATCTCATCTCCTGCCCAGGGGCTTAGGGCACATGCCAGAGGGCTTCCTGGAGGTGGTGGCATTTGGACACTCACTCACACTGTGTAATTTGTGGGGTGGGGAGGGCTGTGTGTCTCTTCCACTGGACGGTGGATCCTTAATCATACTGTTGTCACGTGACTGAGCACTGACCGAAAGGCCAACAGCAGGCGTGTGGTGGTAGTGGAGTGCTTCCCCCTCAACATCTCCATAACGCTGAGCGGGGCCATCACACCGATCACCCTTGACTGATGAGGGGCCAGTTCTGAGAGGCCCAGGCTTGCTGGAAGCCACACAGCTGTCAGAAGGAGCCACTGCCCGCCCGCCTCACTCTCTCATGGCAAGAGACTCTCACCACCAAGAAGTGTCAGGCATGTCGAATGTCACAGCTGGTCGAGGCAAGCCTGTGTCCACCTCACCACTGCACACTGATGTCCACTGTCAGTTTGCTCTGTTATCTACCTGGGAGATTGGCGAGCAAAGTTTCCCAGGAGCAGAGGAGGCCCTGCCCAGGGAGCCCTGAAGGCCTCCAGCCTCCAGTTCTAGCTGGAACTTTCCATCTCCCTTCCCACTGCAGTAAACATGGCTTATTGGGGACTCTTCACTGGTGGTCAGGTGCCGACAGGTATTCAAGGCCCCGGAGTGGATGGCGTGGGCCTGGGGCTCCCTAGGGGAGGACCTGACCGGGCCTTGGGTCTGCAAAACCAACCCACCCTTTAAGCTTTACAGTTGAGGGGTAACTGGTTACGGTGGAAATCGTGGTGCTAAGATCCTTCCCCACCACCCCTTGCTGCCAGCCCGGCCAGCTCTGCAGCAGGGCTCTGCGTCTCCCTGACACAGGAAGGTCACCTCTGCTGAGGACCAAGTGGCAGGAAGGGGCAGTCGGGCTGCAGACATAGGCCAGCTGGACTGCCAACCAACAGGCTGCCAGGGGCGGGCGGGGAGGCTGTCTGCACTCACCTGGCTCTCAGCACAGAGCTCCGAGGAGACAGTGCTTCCTGTCTGAAACAGGAAGTGAGGCTTTTCTGTCTGCGCTCCAGAGCCAACCGCTTTTCCTCTAAGTAGAGCAGAGGTTAGCGAGGGCACACCCCGCCCACACAGGTGCCCAGCACAGCACACCTGGGGAGCAGGAGGGATTCACGATCACACCTCAGGGTTCCGAGGGCCAGACTTTGCAGGCCCAGGAGGTGCGCCGGGGCGGGGGGTTGGGGGGGATGTGCTCCCCGTTTGAGGAAGTGGGGACCCAGAGAAGTGAAGCAACTCGCCTGCAGACTCCCAGACTTAAGGGGGCAGTGGCGGTCCTGGACCTTGGCGCCCTGCCAGTCTGGGCAGAACAGGCCCAGAGGTAGGAACCTGGACCGTGACCGTGGTCCCGTGCTGGATAGGGACAGGGTGGGGCCAGAAATGAGGGCAAGCTGGGTTTTCCAGCTACACACTTGACAGGAATGTGGAGCCATAGGAACCCGGATGATTTATGGCTTCCCACAGCCCCTCCCTCCAGAAAATATCAGGAAATTGCCGGTCAGGCTTCGGACCTACAAGCTGGCCCATCCCCAGTCCTCTCAGCCGCTTCCGGAGGCCCCTCCCCCACACCGGAGGCGGGCTCCTGACCCCAGCCCTTCTCCTGGCACAGGGCTGGCAGGAAGAGCCCGCAGGCCCAGCGGAGGGGTGAGTTTGCAGGGGCTGAGGCCTGTCCCACCATCACCTCAGCTCTTGCTGTGCTCGTGTCCGGGGAAGGCGTCAGCAGGTTCCACCCGCACTGCACCGTCTCTGCTCAGCTCGGTCCCCTGCATTCATCACTGCTGCATTCAAAAAGCTCTCTTTGGCCGGCCTGGTGCTGCAGGGGGTTAAAGCACGGCGGCACTAGGAAGCTAGCTGAAGCCGCTTCAACACCGAGTTCAAACCCAGGCCAGGGAGGGACCCACAGGGCGCAGCAGACTTCTGTCTCCCCGCTGCTCCCCTCAGCAGTGGACTTTGTCCATCTGCCTCTTCTGCTCCCCGCTCTGTCTCTGGTCAGTACTCTCACTCCCTGTACCTGGCCTATACCCCAGTTCTTCTAGATAAAAATAAAATCTTAAAAAAAAAAGCTCAGGCTGCAGCCCTCAGACACGGCTACCACCTCCTCTGGGAGATGAGGAGGCCGTCAGTGGGCACCCAAGGCCAAGGTCATGCTGGGGAGAGAAGGCCCACTTAGGTGCTGCTCGGTGGCTGAGGAAGGCAGGGAGACTGCGAAGGAGACCAAGGCCTCCGGGCGCTGTGTGAAAGGCGCAGGTGGGCTGCAGGGCTCCAGGAGGGGCTGTTGGCTGCCAGTCAGAGTCCCGACCCCAGGACTCCGCCCCCCGCTGTCCTGCAGGCTCCTCAAACTCGTGTGCCATCAGCTCTCCAGACACCTTCACGTGCCTCTGAGTCCAAACCCGCCCCACCCGCCCCGCCTCGGGAGTGGCTGTCTCCCGGCCGGGCTGCTCCCCACCCCGCTGGTCTCGCCCCACCCCTCCTGCTGCCTGTCTGTGCCACCCAGCTCCTCTGGCTGGGCTGCTCCAGCCAGCGCCTCGGCCGTCTGTGAGCGGGCATCCGGCCCAGCCCAGGCCTGCCTTTGGCCTGTGGAGGGACGGGCGGTGAGGAAAGCCCCTGGTGAGTCTGGGGGCTGCGAGCCCCAGTTCCACGACCAAGGCTCCCTGCTGATGCACACACGGGCGTCTCTGGAAGCTGACTGGTGTCCACGGTCACAGCAGCTAACAGTCACGGCCTCTCTCCCCCATCACACACCACAGCCCAGAGTGGAGCTCAGCACGTCAGACTTAAGCGAGCGCGAGGCAGCAGCCACTCCCATTCTATAGGTGAGGAGAGGGAGGCAGGGAGAAGCCGTGGAACGTGGAGACTGCAGTAGCTAGAGGTGGCGTCGGGGTTCAGGGCCAGGTGTGACTCAGCCCCAGCCCACACACCTTGCCATGCTGCCCGTAACTGGCCCCACCCAGAATGCCCCACTCGGTCACCAGCCCTCACCCGGGCGGGAGGACTGGGGGCTGCTTCTCCCGGGAGCTCTGGGCACGCGGCGGTAAGGCCCTGCGAGCTGGCTGCGGCTGCTGAATGACCTGCATTCCTCAAGCGGTGCCAGGCGGCTTCAGCTGTGCCTGCCCCCTCGCCAGCACGCTGGCCGCCCAGCGCTGCCGCTGCTGGACCTGGCCCAAGCCTGGGAGATGGCCCCAGGCCAGGGTCTGTGTGGCCTTGGGCCGCTGATGAGCGCATCGTCCGGCAAGGTAAGGCTGCCCAGCAGCCGTGTCGGACTCAACACACGCGGACCTGGCGTCACGTGAGGGCCGCGGACAGGAGTCCCTGAACTCAGACTCTGCATCCGGAAGGGGCAGCCAGGGCCTCCAGGTGCGCCTGCATTCCGGAGAGCCTCCGCTGTCAAAGGTCAGGAGCGGGGTGCGCACAGCAGGGACCGGCGCTGGGCAGGCAGCTGAGCAGGCGCAGACGGGCCCTGGGAGGGAAGGAGGCCTGGCTCTGGCTGTGGCCTGGAGTCAGACTCTTGGTGGGCCCTGACCTGCTGCCCACTAGGCCCAGCAAGGGGTCAGGTGCAGTGCTTGGAAAGCCACCAGGAGCCCTAAGGGTGGGGGTGGGGGTGGCCCTAGACAGTCCAGAGATTGCACAGGCTTCGGTCCCGGCGCCGCTCTGGCTCTGGGTAGAGAGTGGCGTCCCCCAGGCTCAGACACAGCTGCGGTCACTACAGTCATGTTGAGGCCCTTGTGGGGCTTGGAGCTTCACCCCAGCTTTTGGCCTCCCCGCCTCCCTGCTCCTTGCTCTGTCTGCTCAACTGGTGCTTCTTCTACATTGTCTCAACACAGGAAACACGCTCTGTTTCCTTTGCACTTGCAGTTCTCCACACCCCGACACCCCCAAACAACAGACTCCCCAGGTACCGGCCACATTTGCCTCCTCATGTGACACAAGCTATGCAACGCCCATCGTCTGACAGATTCTGGGTGGATCGGGAGAAGCTCTGAAAAATCAGACTTTCCACTGCTAACTTATGTGATGACCTCCCTTTTTTGTATAATCATAATATCAAAATATTCTGAGCAACCATCAGTTTACAACTGGATTGCCTCAGCCGCATAAGGCTGCTGCCTGGTTCAGGCAAGCTGCCCCAGGACGAGAAATTCCTGTGTCTCCTGAGACAGAAGGCAAACCCCAGGAGAAATAAGACCCCAGGACATAAAAACTCCTGGGAAGCTTCCTTGGTCTCTTTAAATAAAAAAGTAAACCTCAGATAAGGCTCCCAGGGCATAAGGACAAATTTTAACCTTGACTACACAGGTGTTGTTTGATACACAACTGTACAACTTTCTCTTAATTTACTCCTTTTAAAACAAGCACTGACTACTCTCTGCCAGCCTTAAACTAGCCATTAGCTTTTCTTTAGACAATTACTGATAACACTGCTAACACAATTTATTACTACCCCAGACCCCTAACAACCTTTTGCTAACAGGCTCACCCTTTCCCAGACATCTCTTCCTTTGAGTGATAACTAAACAGTATACATGATAACTATCACAAAACGTATAATCTATTATACCCTAAATTGTTAAGAGAAGAATGCTTTTTCCCCTTGTCCTTGAGGACGTTTTATGGTGATGTCTCATTAACTTACCCTATGCATTATTACAATGAACTACTTGCTACACGGTATAAATAAAGACCTGCTGAGGGACTGGCAGGAAGACTTGCACCCGATCCTGACTCCTGTGTCTTCCTCGCGCCCACTCCTGTCTCCCCTCTTGGAGTCTCCACTTGCCGACGCCTTCCCATCTTAGGGTCCTGCCTGTGCTGCCTCCAGACACCTCAAAAGTTGGAGCTGGTCTCCAACACTCATGCCTTTAGGCCTCTGCTCAGCTGACGCCAGTCGGGTGGATCTTTTTTGACTGTTCTATTCAAAACAGCAACGACTACCCTTGACTCATCTCCCAGACACGTGCGGCTGCCCGGCACACGGCCCCCAAGTCCCACAGTCTTGTCCTGACGTTGATAGAGAAGAATCCACCTGCAGCCAGGGCCACGCACGGCTGCTTGCACGCTCCCACCTCTGCGCGCTCCCGGGGGGCTCGCTCCTCTCACATCCGGGGCTGGCACACAAGGCCTGTGGCGTGTCCGGCCGCCTGGGCCTGGGCCTGGGCTGTGTGAGATGCGCCCATGGAAGGGCGTCGGGTCAGGAGCCCCTGAGCGGTCAGGAGGGCTCTGGCCACCCCCACCCTACTGGCAGAGATGGCTGGAAAGTGAGTGGGTACAAATGATTTGTTTGGGGCCTTCGTTTAGAAGTTGTTTTGGGGCCCTCCCTGGTGGTGGAAGGGTTAGAGCCCCGCAATGCGAGGCTAGCTGCAGCTGCTTCAGCACAGTTTTGATCCCTAGCCAGGGGGGTGACCTCTCCTGTCTCCCCTCAACAGTGTACTTCATGGGTCGGCCTGTTCTCCCCACTCTGTCTCTGGTGAATCCTCTCACTGCCCCTGTACCTCTGGCCTGTACCCCAGTTCTATGAATAAATAAATCTTAAAAAAAAAAAAAAGAGTTGCTTTGGGGACCAGAAATAGACTGGAGGAGCTCTGGCTTACATCAGCCAGGCTTACTGATTCCTATTTAGACAGCACTCCCCTTAGAGCCCAAGTTTCCAAGAACCTCCTGGTATTAGGGGAGGACTGAAGTCTAAATATGGTTCACTCCTGTCTCTAGTCAGCAGCCTTTAAGCCCCACTAGGACAGGGATTTTAAAAAAAATTAAAAAAAAAGATTTACTTATGCACACAAGAACTGGGTACAGTCCAGGGGTGCCGGGTATGGGAGGTGGTGAGAGGATTCAGCAGACAGTGGGGAGTAGAACAGGCAGATGTACTGATACACACTGCTGAGGGGAGCAGTGGGGAGACAGGAGAGGTCTGCTGCACCCTGGGGGTCCCTCCCTGGCCAGGGATCTGTGGCTGCAATAGCTCCATAGCGCTGCGCTTTAAGCCGCTGCGCATTGCACCACCAGGGAGGGCCCCAGGGATGTTCACTTTTATCCACTTCCGGCTCCCCTAGCTTCAGCACCTGGTTTGCTCACTTGTCAGGAAGAGGGTCCAAGCCCTTGTGCATACAACCCTACAAGCCCAGCCCACGCGGGCCCTGCATTAGGGCCCCGGACTGGGTGACGGTCCACAGCATTGGGAGCCTAACAGAAACTTGCCCCTCACAGTCCTGGAGGTCAAAATTCCAAAGTCAGGGCCACTCCCCACGGAGCCGGCCTTCTCTGCCCATCTCTGGTGGCCTCGTTCGCTCTCCCCGGTCTCTTGCCGGGAACACCTGTCACTGGACCTAGGACCGACCTGCAGGATGCAGGATGAGCTCCCGAGATACAGCTGCGAGATTTTTTCCCTGTTATCTCACTTTTCCCCTCCTATTTTGGGGGCTGGGGTTGGATGTGGAGCTGTCTTCACAGGAACCAACACTGGGCCCACAACAGCCCCCAATGTAACTACCAAATGGGTAACAGGTGGCCCCAGGAACTCACGCGCTGAAGGGGCAGGAGGCAGCGGGCACCCTTCCCAGCCGGGCACCGCACGTAGCAGCATCTCCCTTAGGGCCCAGCGCCCAGTAAGGCAGCTGCCAGCCTCCGTTACAAGCCAGGGGCGATGCTCTGGGGTGAAGGGCGCCTCCATCGCCCGAGCTGGGCTGACAGCCCTCAGGCCCAGCCTGTCAAACCTACCGCCCAAAGCCCTGTGGCCAGCGCCGGGTGCAGAGGTCAAGGAGCCCACACGCTCCCGCTGCAGGACTTCCAGCGGTCAGAGCAAATCACAACAGTCAGCTGGGGCGTGTCATCCCCTCGACGTCAGCGGCTTCTCCCATGTTCCCCAGCTCCTGCGGAACCAGAAAGCTCAAAAGCAACAAACTCGGCCCTCCCTGGTGGCGCAGCGGGTTAAAGCACAGCACTGAGAATCTGAAGCCACTTCCACATGAGTTCGATTCCCGCCTGCCGCCTGCCCCGGAGGAGACCATATGGTGAGCCAGACCTCTCCTGACCCGCCCGCTGCTCCCCTCAGCAGTGTACTTCGTCAATCTGCCTGTTCTGCTCCCCACTCTGTCTCTGGTGAAGCCTCTCACCGCCCCTGAGCCTCTGGCCTGTACCCCAGTTCTGTATGAATAAATAAATAAATCTTAAAAAAAAAAAAAAGCAACAAACTCGTAGTGATGCAGCCCAGGAGGCCGGGAGGGGTGGCAGCTCCGAGTCCGGAAGCCCCCACCTGCCCCCACCCCTGGTCTTCACGGCTCCTTGGAGTATTTCTTGGTGCTTGTCCTAGGACTTCTGAAGGCAAAACCACAGGCTTGGAAACCAAAGCCCTGTGCTTCCTACCCGCCAACTTGACAAGCCAGGGAACTACTCCAAGCTTCACTCATCCACTGAACAGGACACAGCCTTTCCTCCCCAAGTGTGAGATCACGTACACGCCCTTGGCGCTCGGGTTTGCTCGGAGCGGCGGCTACGGTGCCAGACACAGCCAGCTCACCCTGGATGCTTACCTGGGCTTTGCTGGAAAGATCAGAAAATTGGCTGTGGGCTGTTAGGTTTTAAGATTTATGCATACAAAAACTAGGGTACAGGCCAGAGGCACAGGGGCGGGGGTGTGTGTGTGAGAGGATTCACCAGAGACAGAGTGGGGAACAGAACAGGCAGATCGATGAAGTACACTGCTGAGGGGAGCAGC